TTCACACACATGTAGATAAAATGCCAAGAAAAATATGCATTCTAAGCAGCCTGTGTAACAAACTAACCTGGTTTTAGAGATTAACTTGAAAAAATCACACAGAGATAATAATCAGTAAGTGCATAATTCCTATATTATATTCCCTTGAGACCTTTATTTGTAGGATTTTCAGACACATAAACACTTGATCAGTATTTATAATATGCAAGGAACAAAACTTTGTACAAATATTTATGCTAGTGAAAAGAAAAAATGAAACACTTCTCACAAGCTGGATAGTTCCTTGAAGTATTTCAGTTGCTAAAAGGAAGAAGGCTATTCAAAAGGCCATGCTCACTGCTGCATGGAAAAATACAGGTAGATCCTGAAAAATGGATCTCAGTATCATCTCCTAATCCAAAGTGAATTGTGGTCTAGTCACAGACCACATTAGTGCGTAGCTTGCTTTAACTTGCAAAACTGTTGTACAATGTCTCATGATGAAATTCTTACTCTGTGCAGGAATTAATGATGCATCAGTGGGTTTGAAATAAAAACAGTGTTTAGATTCTAAAACTGCTGTGACTTTTATAGAATTCATAGCAAGAAACAAAACAGTGTTATGACTAATTTTTGCTTGATTCTGTCCTTTTGTTTATACAACTTAAACTGAATAGGTGTGCTCTGGATATTGGTGAGTGTGTAGAGGACTTTGCAAGCATATTCATTGCATCAGAACACCACTCACTTCTGTCCTAAGTGATTTTTAGCTTTTCCTGTCCTGTAAATGTATCTACAGGGAAAGAAATCTGTAGCAGTTGTTTCTCTAAAGAAGATACAGGGCAGGGTTTGCTATCCCCTGTGATACAGCAACACCTGAGCAGGCACCACGATTCATTCAGAGTTCATGGAGAAAATCAGGAATGCATTCCCTTTCATCCAGTAGCAAACAGCTTAGCCAGACTGCAGAACCCTCCCTGTGTTCAGTGTTTACTGCTCCCCATTCCTTGCAAACGGAATTTAGGGGAGGTAGCTCTTGTGCTAATCATTATAAACAGCAATTAACCCTGGTGAATCCCTGGATCCACTGTCCAGTCTAATGAACCTGGTTACCCATTTTCATAAGGTTCTTCTGAAGAAATAAAAAACTGCTCTTAGCAACATACTCCAAGATGCTTTTCAGCCTCCCAGCAGAAGGTGGAAGTGAGAGGGAGCCAGCACTGCCAGGGCAGCCAGTTTGCCACTGTGCATCATCCTGGGCCCCACAGGATGGGCTTGGACAGCCACCTTCACACAACAGGGCATCAACAACATTTTCATTGGATTACTGTTGGGGAGAAATCCAGCAGGAAAGATGCACAGAAAGCTGTTTACAAGCACACAGACGAGGGCTGCTCTGGCAGACCTTGGGAAAACAGTCTGGATAAGAGTCTGGGAGGGCAGGTAAAGGAAAAAGAAAAGAAGCACTGAAAGACCCTGATCTCCAACAGGGAACAGACCTAAGGCTAGTCCCAGCTTTCACATCTGACCAACAAATTATTTGCATTAGGCATGTTTACTTCTGGTATATATTCAATCATTAAAAGCTCTTGATGTGACAAATATTTTGTTTCTGGTACAGCCAGATCTCAAACTACACAGAAAACCATTTATTGCTGTTCTTTAATGTTCCTTAACAAATGCTGCATGTTTAATAGTGCCAGTGATTTTAAATATTATGATTAGCTGTGACATTTTCACAGTGGTTGCCTGCTAGGAAAGACTGCCTGGGAGTAGTTAGAGAGCAGCCACCAGGTCCTGTTCATTCAAGCTGGAATAAGTCCAGGAGAAGGGGAATCAACTTGAACCTTTGTACTAGGCTTGCAACAATATTTTGAAAGGAGGTTTATCCTGACATGAACTTCCTTCAAAATGTAGAGTTTCTGATCCCAAGTGAATTGGCTTTGACATTTAATCAAATTCAATGTTTAGGAGAGTTTATACAAGACTTGAATAGACAAATAAAAATATTTTTCTCTCCATACATCCTTATTCACTCTCACCAAAAATTTATTTCATTTGGCTACAGAGCTGTATTTAACTTCACCAAAGTGTATCAGGAAAAAGGCTAGGACAAGAAGAGAACCTTCCCTTATTTTAAATATATGGCTTTAGCTTGTACTGCAGGACCACAGTTTTGTCTGTGAGAGCAGAGATTTATGTGGCTTCATCTGCATGCACTAGAGCACACTCACATTTTTGACTCTCTGAGAAGTTTCAGAGTGCATAGGCACAAGCTGTACCCTAGAGTTTAGTCTCCAAGTGCTGTACCATAGATAATTTTCTTTTTTATGGCCTTGGAATTGCCTGTTTACATGATCTGCAATACAAATTCCCTCTGGAGTTTTCATTCCATCACACTTAGGACACATGGATGCTCTGCACCTGGGTGCTGCAGTCCCAGAAGATTCACTGTCACAGTCCCCTCACCTCATCACACCCCAGGCAGGAGGAGTGCTGTGATAAGGCTCTGCTCATCTGTCTGTTATGGGTGATATTCAAATTCAACACGATCTGGGATGTGATTCAGTGAATTTCTTCCTGGCAGAAGGAAGCAGAAAGATCTCAGCCAAAGTCTTTCCCATCGCTTCACCTGAATATCTAATGAGGAAGGTGGCAGGTGCTGAGAGAGTGAAGCAAGAAAGGAATGGAGTATCTTTCCTTGAAGGAAGACAAACAGAAATGAAGATTGTTGTTTTTCTGCTTTAAATCCACACAAAGGGCTTTGTAATCTCCATAAGCTCTGTATCCACTACAGTTAGCAGATAAATATACTAACTGCTAGAAATACATGGCTTTGGGACATGTTAGGATGTGTGCAAGATGCAGGACAGAATAGGGAAATACCTGCCCTGTTTATTGCTCTCCTTCCCCAAGAATCCATTAGAACCACAGTCTGAGCAAGACAGTTCTTTAGTTTGAACTCAGTTTGTCCTTCTTAAATTCTGATCAAAAGATCTACTATTAGTTAACACTGTTATGTTCTCAGACTTACATCTCGCAAGGATACTTGGATGCTGGAAATCACCAACAAGCAAGGCTGAGCACTTTTTTCCCAAGAGAATTCCACCCTAACTGCAGCTTTGACTGAGATATTTTAAATATTTAAGTATTTAGAGACCAGATTTCATGATCTAATCTTCCAGGTATAGGTCCCTTTAAGTCTCATTTTAATTAACAGATGGTGATTGAATACACTAGTAAAATGTTACTGCTAGTAATATATTACTGTTCCTTCTTGATTGCACTGAAGCAAATAGATTTTCTGTAGGCTCAGAACATAGCCCCATGACTCTTTTATAGCTGAACAGAAGAATCTACAAGAGACAGAGGTCATGCTGACTATGGGGCTGAGGACAATACTATTTCTTATTGATTTCTTTCATCTAAAAAAAAAATTCTAGTCCACTAGCCAAATGTTTGATCTAGCCAGAATAACACTACAGTAGTTGAATAAATGACCCATAAATTTTCAGTAATTTATACTAGTTTTATGTTTAAAAGTCCCCATATAAAATTTCATTATCCCATAACTTTTCTGCAGTATGTTGGTTAATACAAGGAGAGATCTAGCCAAGTAAAATACAGCTATGTGGTTTTTATTATTCCCCTTCAAATAACCAGGCACAACGTTCAGCCCTGATGTAAGAGGGCATATCTTAATCACATTCATTAGGGTCTGTCTTTAGCTCTTGATGTTGAAAGCTGGAAAGATGAAATCTGTTAGATGAAAGAGAATGTCAGTGCTTGATGTATAACCCTCCTTTCCTTCCCATTCCTTGGCCATAAAATTTACATCCATGGAAAATCAAAACATTTTTCTAGCACTATTATCAAGCTTTTATTCCCCAAGCTTTCACGTGAGAAATTATGAGGCTAATTTATATTTACTCTAAATCAATATGTTAATTACTCTACAGTCCTTATGCATCTAACAGAATTAATGAGAAAAAGAAAACACATCTCTCAACCTCTTTATTTTCTCCACATTAAATGCCCAGAAGTTGTTTAAATGAAACAAAAGAAAGAATCATTTCAGAAATATCGGTTAATGTGCAGAGGTCTGTGAAGTCAGAAAATCTATTCCTTGATTGTTTATATATAAATGTGGAGATAGAGATAGATATATATAGAGATGTGCACAGTGACCCAGCAAAATAATCTCCTGATCACAAGACACCAACATCAATAGGGCACAGCTTCAGGAATGGTTCCATTTCCCACATCCATTTCTACTGAAAAAAGAAGAACATTCATGTTGACAGCCAGTTCCACAATCACCCAGTTGTAAGCTCCCAAACTCACATCTTTTAGGATTGTACATCAGCAAAAGGAGGAACAGAAATCATCTTTATTATTGATTTTCTGTGTATCACTGCAGATCCACCACTAAGCAGGCTCACCACTCTGCTTGCAAATACTGTCTGTTCTCTTATTTTCTCACCTTCTCATGTCATTGGATGATTGTTTAATACAAAGTAGAATGGCTCCAAACCACGACCTTCAGACAAAGAGCTCTTCATCTCCTTCCTCTGAATTGGAAGCAGATGTGGGTTCAAATATTTATTTCAAATTAGTCAGTCCAGGAATAAGCTGCACCCAGCCTTAAACTTCTGGGAATTTCCCCAAGGGGAGGACTAATAGCTATTCTAAAAGGCCTTTTCTCCTTATGGAAGAAGAGACAATACTTAAGCAGAAGAACTTAAGCAGGACTTTAGCCAAGTTAAAATGAGAATTAATCTATTCATTTCTGTCTGGACATCTTCAGTGCTTTTAAACCACACTCCATCTGTCTAAGTTAATTCAGTTGGGATTGAGGCTACACCTATAATAATAAAAAAATAAAAGTCAGACCAAGTTTGCCATGTTTGCTGATATTGCTAAACCTTTGGCTTCTCAAGTGCAGCTTCGTCCTATGCTAACTACAAATCTCACAGAAAATGTCCAGGTATATAATATAGGTCACTCTGGGAAGGGGAAAAAGCTGGATGCAAAGGTGCCGTGTCATTTTCCATCAAAGCCACTATCAAGGCCCTTGCACACTTGTTTAGTAAAACAAGCATAGCCAGCCTATCTCTCCTTGGGTATTTTTCACTGTACTAGTCCCTCTTTACAAGGCAAGAGGTAAAGTTCAGTCTAGAAGTTCAGTCCTACAAAAGATAAATCTGTGGCAAACCAGTGTTTACTTTCCCTGTGTTTTCCCTCATTTGATGTACAATGGGATAAACTTCAATTCTTTTTCCCTTTATGTGTATAAATAGGTAGACTGCACGCTGCAATGCATACCCATCATGTGGCAATAGCCAAGTTATGTAGAAAAACATGTGAAAAACTAATTTCAGGAATATGGGGATACATTATCTTGAGGTCTTGGAAACCCAAGAGACATGACCTAAACTCACCATTTGCCTTAGATGCAAATAAATATCCTTGAGCATCCATTTACACACAAGAAAAAGTAGTCAAATAACATGATGCTTTTATGTTGGTCTGTTGTTGGGCCACATATAAAGATATGTTTGATAGAAAAAAACAAGTACTATTGATCACAAGACAAAAAAGAAAGGAGCACTTTACATCCAAGGACATTTGCCAGCAGTGTTACCTCAGATTAGACAAAAAGAATATTCACATATGGGGAAAACAGGTTCACTAGGAACATGAACAAAGTGAAATTAAAACAGCAAGAGTAGGAAGCTTCAACAAATCACAAAGTGAGAAAAGGCAGCACCTTCTTTTCTGTGAGGCTGCCATCTGGTGAAGATTTTTATCCCATTCCTTTGCCCGTCTTTAAAGCAACAAAATATTTTGAAATGCTGACTGAGAAAGCAAACAGACAATCATGACTGTCCCTGCACAACGCAAGCAGAGCTCGCAGAAACACTGCCCAAGACTCCTTGCTGAGACAGGCTCCTGGAGGAGAGGGACCAGCTGCTGGGGAAGAAAGATATGCTGTGGGGCTGCTCTGGGATAGTGCAATTTGTGTTCCTGAGCCATGCCTGGGGGCACAACACACCCTGTTTCACACATTTCTCTGCATATCACCATGAGGCACAGCCATAGTCTAGTCCCAAACCATGGTTAGGGTTCAGCTCAATGCTCTTACAAAGGGGAGGGAGCAAGGGAGAGAATGGCATCCCAGGTAAATGTTATATCCTGTCCTCTGCAGTGACAAAATGGTCCCAGCAAGAAGAAAAAAGTGGGAATGAATATTAATATACTAATCAGCAGTCAGTTTTTTTTTTTCAGTTTTAAACATTCTTTTGTGAGATTTCTTACAAGTAGATTTTAAATAAAGCAAATCAAAATTAGATCTTGCGGAGGAAAAAAGAACAGTAGATGATTTCCTTTCTAATTCCACAGAGGTAAAACAATATTGAAAATTAACTGTACATTTTTAATATAAAGTAGAAAAATGTCAAGAAGGACTGAAAGATTACCTGTAGACAGATGACTCAGACACCCCACTTACTGAACAAAGCAAATTTTGATTCAAGTTTCTGCTGCAGAATGAGCATACCAGGTTGGGTCACATCCATGAACCCTAAAAGTGCTCTAGACAAAAAGCCATTGTCTTCTCCATGGGTAAAGGCCTTTCCTGCAAACTTTGCAGCAGAAATCTTGGCTACCTTGAAGACTGAGGCAATCCTTCCACTGAAACTGAATAACACTAGCAATAAAGTGTTATTTGACATATATAAACCAACATTGCATAGGGGATGCTGGGTGTTAACAATTTGAAACATATCTTTAACTTAAGTGCGATCCCAAACAGTCACAAAAAAAGCAGGCATATCTTCTCAATCCAAGGGTAAATAGCCTTACATGTTACTAGTGGAGACACATAAAAAGGTCTTTCTGCCTATAATGTAAACTCACTGTAAACTCCATTTATTTCTTTCTTTTTAGTGAAACTCAACAGTTCTAGTGTTAAAATTCATATCAGCACTAAAGTAGCACAACTTCTTTTCCTGTTGTGGAAAGAGGACCTCTCTGGCTTCAGTCTGGAAGAACTTCCATGGCTTCAATTGGTGAATGTCTCTTAAGCTTGTCTTTAGTTTAAGCCAGAAAATCGCTTCTCTTGAGAATGCTCTGCTCTCTGAAGGCTACATCTACATGTGTACCAGCTTCTCAGCTGTAAAATCTTTAAAATAATGTCATGGTGTTATAACAATGTATTCTGAAGATAATTTCTCTAATATTTTGAATTTGGATGAGTATCGCTACAAAAGCCATTAGAGAAATTTAATCTTAAAATAACTGAATTTGTAAGTCTGCCATCCAGTGTTTAGTATAAACTTTCTCCCTAGCACTGGCTTTTTCACTGTTTGGTCTATTTATTTTTTCTCTTGAGTTTGACCATATAGAATCAACTCCTTTCTGTCTTCCGCAGGCATTCTGAATTGCTCTCATTTTCCTGTTTGACTATTTCTCTGTCTCTTCCAAATTTCATGTTATCTGCAAATATCATTAACATTGCAGATTTCCCTTTTATTTGTAAAACATGCAGGATAAAAGTACATGTCCTTGAAGAAGAACACATAAAATAATAACTTCCAGTGAAAAAATTAATTCACAATGTAATAATGACTCAGAATATTTCTGGTACTGCATAAGAATCCTGGACATACAGAAAATGTTGAGAGGAATGCCAGAACTGGGTAATCAGACCCATTTCTTACCTGGCAATATCTGATTCCTCAAGGATAAACCTAGTCAAGCACATCTTGCTGACATCCACTGGAATTCTGGGGTTATACACTCACCATCTGTTGAAATTATTTCATTGCATAAGAATATACAAAGCTTCTAGGGAGTAATACATTAAAATTATCAGCACAACTGTTCAAAGAATTTAAGGACAGAAATTCTGTAAATAATGAAAGGACATCATTTATTTAGTGAAACAAATGTCATTTGTTGAAGCTGGGTATTCTGTTAAAGTCTATGACTCTTAGATAACAAACTAAGCACTGCAAATCTTGTTTTGAAATGGACTTCAAAGGGCCTCTGTCTTGTGTCCCAAACTGGTAAAGCAGAACTAAGAGCACAAAACAAAATTAGTTTTAAATGTCTGTTTGAAACTTCTTACATGACTTCAACATATTATTTTACATTTCTGATTTACAAAGCTTATTGTCCCTGCATGATTTGTGTTGTCATTTGAATCTACAATTCAAGCTGGAAACAAAATAAATTTTGGCTTAATGTAAATTAGAGACAAAGGTTATTTTTCTTCTTTTTCTACTACCTTAGTTCCACAAGTATATTGCATAATGATGACTTTTTTCCTTCTGCTGTTAACCAGGTAAACATAATCTAGTATATGGGATCATTTTGCAATGAAATAATGGTACAAAAATGTAAACTAGAATCTGCTCACAGAGCTGTACTGATCTTTGTTAAATTGTGGGTGTATTTGACCTTGCTAGATATTTGTGACATCCTATCATTTCACTCTGCACAATTAACTCTGAAGCAGTTCTAGACACAATGTCATCTGATGGCAATTAAATAAAATCAAACATTTAGAAAGTAATAGTGCACATGGATACCATGATAACCCTTAAAACATATTCATTGTTATCTAAGAAGCAGTGCAGAGGAAATATAACAAAATTCTGAGAAAAAAACCACCTTGTTCTGACTCTGATACTGCTACTCATGTCCTCTGCTTGATGCCCTTTTGTTTAAGTACTGCTTTATCAGTGCTCCACGTTGAAAAAAATATGCTCCTTTTTATTATTTCAGAGTTATTTCAATTGTGATCAAACAAGATAGGAGTTTAATTGCTTTAGTGCTTCAAGTTTTAGAAGATTAGCTCTGGAAGCATCTAAATGCACATCCTTTCCTGTTTTCCCCTTGCTCCCTGTGAAGAGGGAGTTCTCTGCCAGCCTTGCCCAGCAATAAATTAAGTTACCTCCCTACTGTCACAACAGTTCTGAAAATTGCTTCTTCACCACGTTGTTCCAGAAAGAGAGTAAATAGGAGCATACAAGTGAAACAGGATATTTTAATAAATCACAAAAAACTGTATGTATTTGTCAAGTTGAACAAGGTTGCTCTTGAAGAATATATCATCAAAAACATCATAATTATTGGCATACAGAAGTATGTCTGCTTGCTCCTGGAACACAGAGCAACACAGAAGATAAAGTCAAATGTACAGTGATATTACATAGCACAGACTTTGATCGTTCCTTCTTCTCTGCTGTGGGCTCTCTGCCTTGGGGAACACCATTTCCTGATGCCAACATGACATCTACACATGTCCATATCCTGGCATTCAAAGTACACAACCTACCACCATCAGAGCTGTCCCCTTGTTCAGGTGACCTGGGTATGGTTGTTTCTCTTCCTGCTGGAAATCTTCCATCAAGAATTTCATCCAGATTAATTTTGTGTTACCACAAAATGAAACCTGTGATTTATACTCTTACCTTTCCTGATCTGGAGGAGCTCTGGGTTCATCTTTCCCACACACACTTCTGCCATGCTCTTCCTTTGCCTCTTCTCATGTTTGTTTAAGGATTTCCCATTGGTGCTCTATTTTATCTTGATAAGGCACCAAATCTCTTTGTTTAGCTCATTCCTTCACCTGTGTGACACCTGCAGCTCGATTGCAGCTGTCTCTGGGGACTCTGCATTTCCACTCAGCTCCAGGCTGCCTCTCAGCCACCTCTGATGATGTCTCTCTCCTGTCTCTTGCTTCTCACCCATAAGGTGTTGAATTTCCCTGCCTCTATCTGGTTAAAGTAGATTCAGCTTTATTTTCTGCCAATACAAAGAATGAGCTTGCCACTCTTACCAGATGCTCAATCTGTCCTTGAACCAAGGACACATGCTCTGAATTTCAATCATGCACAGGTTGATTTGACTTCTAAGGGGCATGAAAATATGGACAAAACCAACAATTAAAGCATCCTCCTGCTTCCTGTTTTGCCATGATGCTTTAACTAGTGATTTGATATAAATTATATTTAATTTGCTTTATTTACATGAGACAAAGGATTTCATTGAGAGGAGGAGATGCTTTGATTAAGCTCATATTAAGCAAACACATTAACTATTAACTAATAGTACTTCATTTAATTTTTTCTTCAATTGAAAACAGTATTAAAGTAAAAAAGGTCTCATGTGACAAAAATAATTTCCCCAGATTAGCCTTTTTAAATGATAAAATATTTTGACAACATGCTCAAAATTTTTCTTACTGTTCAGTAACAGGCTACAGCTTCCTAACAACGTAACTGCCTCTCCTGTATATTTTTAACAAATTCATAAGACTGCTAATTGGTGCCCATACATTTAGGAAAAGCAGGTAAGACAGTCAACATGATTACAAGCCAGTTAATTTAACATGCTAAAATTTCTCATTTAAGTCCAATGCTGGTATATAATTACAGCCAGGGATGATGATTTTATAGAAAGCAGAACTTAAGGACCAAATCTTACTTATGTGACGAGGTCAAAATTTTCTTTAAAAAATATTTGTGAGGATGTATTTAAACTTTTATAAGGCATTTGACTTATGCACAACCAACTGATCATCTGATCTAAAAATCAACACTTCATTATTATATGCTTTATTAATAAAGCACATAATAAGTGAATTCAAAAGTGGCCCACGAACCCCTAGAAATAGTCATGAAAGGGAAAATACTATGGAACTCAAGTAATTTTTGATATGATCCCTCAAGGCTGGCACTGGATTTTGGAATATATAACATTTTCATAAACAATTTTGAAATAAGGCTAATGCAATCTTAGAACAATTACAGCTGACAAAAACAGGCGGGATGATAAAGAGCAAAGATGGAAGAGTTATATAGAATGATCTGAAGTAATTCAGCATATGAAACAATTAAGCCCACAAAATATTTTAATAAAATAACATTCACATTATACCCATAAAAAGAAATGTGCAAATCATGCCTACAGAGTGAAGGGTGTACTAGCAAAGCAGTGATTTAAAATTAATCTAGAGTTAAAATAGACAAACAAATGATAAACAGAATTGTCATTAGTCTCAATGTTATAAAGGCACAAGGAAGGTTATTATATTCCTTCAGTATATGAACTTGGGAAAACTTCAGTGCATTTATTGATAGCACTGAAATGAAAATGATGATTCCAGTTCTGGTGCCCAGTTTTGCAAAGTCATGGCTCAAAACTGAAGAGACAAACATGAACAAATTGAAGTCATGTTACCTACCTTTTCAAGAAGAGACCTACAAGGATGCTGAGTCATTCCAGGAAAACAGGAAGCAAGGGAATACAGGTCAAATTGAACACATTCAAATTGGAAACTCAACTAATTTTCAACTGCAAAAGTGATGAAGCACCAAGACCTTCAAATCAAGACAGCGTACATCTTTGGAAGAAAGTCACAGAGCTTTTACAGCCCTCAGTTCTATCAATTTATTATAGCTTAATGAACAACCTGTCAAAAGTAATAGGAAACCAGCTTGAAGCTCATTGTCATCTGATGACATCTCCCATTGAGCTAAGGACCACAAAAAGAAAACAGTGACATTTACAAAGTTTTCAAACCTTTAAAGTAACACTTGAAATTTAAACAGATGGTTCCCTTCAGCTTAACCCATTCTTTTCCCTTCTCTTGGGGCATTTATTTGCAAAGACCTTTAAGGAAAGATGACAGCACACATGACACACAGACTCTACTCTGTGTATAAGAAAAATAGGTTAGGCCAGATTATCTATTATCCTAAATCATTGAAATCACATCTTTTTGGCTCAGTATCACAGGAAAGGAGGAAATTCCAAAAAGCAGGGCTTTGACAGACATGATTTTCCCATAACCTAGAAGAAGCATGAAAATATTGCTCAAATAATTGCAAGATTATTCAAAAATATTTTGTGATGCTGTTGAAACGGCTTGGAAAGGCTTTTCCGGTTAGAAAATGTGAAAGAAGCTACAAAAGGTTTTAAAATATGCATAGGATCTATGAATGCAACCAAAAAAAAATCCAACTCAGTTTACTGCTTCTCACTTCTATAAAGCTGAGATTACATCAGAAACATCCCACATCTGATGTTTAACTGGCACCTTAAAAAATGCAGAATAAAAAATCCTCTCAGCATTCCATTTCGGTCTATTTAATTCTTACATAATTTGTTTATTCCAAGGAAGGATCCAAGGAGGATCACGGTAAAGAGCCAGTAAAGGTGGAAAACTAGTTTTTCCTTTCAGAAGATAACATTTCTTGGAGAAATCAGCTGAATCTTACATATCTTGTCACTGGTCTGTTGCTCCAACAGCATTAAGCTATTAGAAATGAGTCACTGGCAATTCCAGAGTGCAACATGTAGGCTTGGGGGGAAAAGAGAACTACAAAAATTTAATCATGGTATTAAATCAGCACCGTTGAGGGTCCACACAAGCAGACTAGTGCACAAGCTTGCTGAGAAAGCCATCCATTAAGAATGCAGGGCAGTGGCTCCAAATCTTGTTTCCCTGGCTGTATTGTTTTCCCTGACTGAGTTTTGATAAATGACAGAGCCATAAGCACCACACCAGCATCCTCAGGTGAATCCCAAAACCTTCACAGGTTTCTATAAAATCAGCCTTTCTGACCAATCTCTAACCTGTTGCTCCCACCTCTTGGTTGCCATCTCCTTATGGCAAACTGTGGCAGCACATGGAGAAGCCTGGGAGCAAGTTTGCTTGTGAATAGTGATGAAAAAAGCTCTTGAGAATTTCAGTTTTCTCCCCACTGTCTATCATTAGGCTCTTGTTAACCAACACTTCTTGATCTAAATTGCTGTCAGTAGCTGGCACAATTTTTGAATCTATTCTTACCATCTTTAATATTTCCTGCTGGTTTTAGCTGTCGGTAGGCATTGTCCTTTATAATTTTGTACCTAAGTACCCATGCAATGGTTTTGCATTCTTCTTTTCCCATTTTTCTTCATTGATGTCCACCTTTCTCTAGGTCAAACCTTGGAGAAACATTTCCTTAATTCAGCCTCTAAGGGAAATTAAACACATGGCTACATAAAGAATGTTGAAACACCAGACCATGGTCAGCAGGCAGACATGAATACACAGACAAAAATAGAAGCTTTCCTTTGCTGGTTTGTTTTCGGGTTGTTTTTGGTTTTTTTGTTTTGTTTTGGGGGTTTTTTTGTTTTTTTGTTTGGTTTTTTTTTTTAATAGCTCTTTCAAGCCACCTTTACACGGGTTAGCTGCAGGAGCACAGAATTCAGATTAGGAAAAAGCACCATTGCCAGACTCATTGAGAGCTGAGTCCATCTGCTTCAACATCCTCCACCTGACAAGGGTTAACAGGAGATCTTTCAAAGTCAGACAAGCCCACTAAAGGCAGCCACAGGACCACATGAGCTTTGAGAAACCAGCTTCCTCCATCCAGATATGTGAAGGTTGTCTTCTTTTTGGAAACACATAGCTTTTTGTACTTTTTTCTTTCCTGCAGTCTTTTTTCATTTTAATCTCCTCTGATACATCAGGAGATTTTCTCATTATCTATTACCCTTCTTTTGATCCTATTAAGCTTCTGGCAGCAATGATATCAAGAGACAGTAAGGTTCAGAGGTTAATTGTGTTTTGTATTTAAGAAGTATTTCCTTTTTCCATTTTAACAGTGTTCATTTTTAAATGATACTAAAATAGAAAGTAAAAAAAAAATCTATGGTGCAGTTTAAAATACAAATGAAAGAAGAGAGAGTTAAATTATGACACTCAAATAATTCTTTCCTGTAAGCCCTGAGGGAAACCTGATGTCACTGAGAACTTAATGTAAATTGCTACTGTTAAGGTTAGATTAGAAAGAAAATTTAAAAAATAAGTCATTTAATCAGCTCCTCAGCTGGTGTGAATCAGTTCAGTTCTTTGGGAGGTTTTGAGTGTGAAATGATTTATATCACCTGAAGATCATGCCCTTTGATCTTTAAATATCTAATAATTTTTATGGATCTCCTGAAGCCTTCTTTTTTAAATCATAGTGCACAGAACCAGACCTTCTGCTTCACCTGTGGCTTCACCTCCTGCTTCCTATGCCTCATTTTCTTGTTCATAAATCCCAGAATTAGATTTATCCCTCTTTTACAGATCCTTATTTAGTTTGTGATCTATTATAAGATCATCACCCAGTCAGTAACTCAACATGTTGTATTTTTAATACTCCCTGCCTGCCTACAAACACACATCTACCCCCGTGTATTGAGCACCTGAATTTAACTAAATTTCATCTCACTGATTTCAAATTACTTATGCAACTAATCAAGACAATTTTAAATTGTAATTGTGTCTCTCCCTTTCATTTTTCCCCCAGGAACTGCCTCCTGCCAGCCAGAGACTGTCTTTTTTAGCTTCAAACTCGTTCTGCATCAAAATAATTCCATTCAAGCAATGTAACAATTAGCAACACTGGCATACTGCTGCTGGCTATAGAGCCACCTTAGGACCTGCTGCACCAAAGCTCAAACACAAAGATAGACTTTCCTCTTTCATAATATACCTATCACTGCATTGTG